GTAGGGAACACGTTTATATACTCGACTCTTTCACTGACTTACGTGCTGCTAAGCAAGCTGTATTATATAACTGTGCCTCAGTTTCCCGATCTGTTAATTGGGAGTTACACTTCTGTACATATACACAGGTTGTAAGGCTCAATTCACTAATATTTGCCAAGTGCTTTGAGCTCCTCGGATGTGAGGAGTATTGCTATTCTGTTCCCTGGGAATTTCACAGTGGGATGCTGCCAGGATATGTTTCTCACTGTTCCCTGTTTCTCTTGGAAATGGACTGCTCCAAATCCATGAATGCGTGCCATATTTAAGATCAATGTACAAATAAATAAATACCATTTTTGTCACCTGTCCCTGAGCAACAGAGGTATAAGTACGCTTCTTAGGCCTCAGCCAAATATTTTTTCATGGGAACTGGAAATATGTTGAGGGAGAGCAGAAGAACAATCCAACCCACTGGGAACAGGACAGAAATGAATCAAAGGTCTCACCACTACAGTGGGAATATAGTACCTATATATCTAGTGAAACTAGCCTGTCCAAATATCCTATGCAGGATTCAGCTGATGTCCATTCAGGTGTCCATGAAATAGGGTCCATTTGATGTCAAGTTCAATGGCAATGCACTCTTTACAGCTGGTGGAAAACTAATCAGTACAGTTGGTGAGCACAGGGTACAAGAACCAAAGCACACATCAGCTTTCGGATGAGATTAATCTCATCTTTAACTCAATTATCTACAATGACCAAATTTCTACCGAAGGGAGCAGAGGGTGACTTGCTTAGATGTCAGATGATCAGAGACACCCACAGTCAGTGGGAAGGCTCTCACCCCTACCCCACTGACCCAAGGTGCAGCCTCTCTACCACGGCTCATGCCCACCTCCTGTTCAGAATGACCCCTGTTACTCCCCACAATAACTTCACCACCACGGCTAGAGCACTGACCAACAAAGACAGAAGGATTTGGCCCATGTAAGATGTTAGAAAGTGGAGTTTCTGTAGTGACTGCTTGTATTACACTGCAGCTGCACAACTGAGCATCACTGGCACATCCAGTCAGCACAAGGAAGCGATACACTGTACTGGGCTTTCTGTCTGTAACTGGGTGTTGCACAGACCTCGATAGAGTGTGCTTCGATGGAAGACACCTCGTTGGGTCTTTGCCCCTCACATGAAGTAAACTTCATGTTTGATTCCTCAGATGTTGTGGACATCTCATAACATTTATTCCATCCAGGGAGCTTCTATTCTTTTCTAGATGTAGGCATTGCCTTCATCTTCATTGTTTATTCTCTATTTAAAGAGACATCTAAAGGATTAGGATCTTCTTACCTTGTCTGCTTCTTGAGATGAAAGGCCAGGTTGGACGAGGCTCTGAGCAACCTGATCTGGTTGAAGATGTCCCGGCTCATTGCAGGGGAGTTGGACTAGATGATCTTTAAAGGTCCCTTCCAACCCAAACTGTTCTATGATTCTATGATTCAGCTAAATCATGATACATTCTTCTGGGACAGATCTTCAGGGAGAACTAATTGCTGTAGTTACTCGAGTAAATAATGCAGACCAGTTACAGCCTTTGAAGACTGGGCTGAGTCCATGGAGCTGTTCTGAGGCCAGTAACTATAATGACATGAGGGACAATTTTGGTAATTACTTAATTGGCAAAATAACCATTGACCTGAAAGATAATCTGTGTTCGGTTCAGTTTCATGGCTAAACTTGAAGAGAATAAAACCATCTGACAAAAGTGTAATTCATTATAATTTGGCATATTGAGAAGAATTCTTTGGCCATCAGTAATTCTTGGAAATACCTGTATTGCACCTGCTGGAGGCTTTCTGATATAGGAATACATGTCTGTATCAACTCCTAAGATTTAACCCTCACAGGACAAATGAATGAAAAAGAATGAAAACTGATTTTAACATTGCTGGACTTCTGAAATTGGCGTAAGTATAGCCTAGACAAGCATGCCTCACTTTTCTTATATGTCAAGTGCCTGGCATTTCTACTGATTCCATTTGAGTTTGGTCTGTCTTAAGATGCTTTCTAGATCTGAGCAATCAAAAAATCAAGGCAGCCAAACACCAAGTGCAATCTGAGAAATCTGTTTGTGAATGTCTTTGACAGTGGCTATGCCATGCAATTCCCTGCCCAATTCCCCCTCAAATTCTTCAGTTCAGGTTTCTAATTTCCTCCATGCCGAGTCATATAAAGGGAATCTTTTCTCAGTATTAAACCTGGCTGAAAATCCATAAATCTCCTCATTATAAAGGTATGTTCATTCCAAGAGAAAATCCAAGCAAGGACAGAGACTTAGGTGAGTCTTCACCTGCTCACAGAGTGCAGCCCCAGAGTAAGTGGGATTTGGGCTGCCCTGCACTATGTACGCTTAGCAGCTGAACTGCCTTCAAGTTAGCATTTTCTACGGTCTGTAAGCACCAGTTTACTATATGCAGCTGAAAAACACCAGGTCAGGTGTTTGTAGCCACATGATAAAATATTTAAGGATGTGCTGACCGGCCAGACAAGGTCTGCCTCTTCTTAAAAGGTATGCCCAGCAAGACCCTCTGCAGTGGACATCTCTGTATCCTCTGGAAGAGATCCGAGAAGAGGGGCAAGGAAGGTCTGATTAGCTTATTTTAATACTTATTTTTTCTAACACACTTTTCACTGAAACCTGTCACGGCTCTGTTCCGGAAAGGCGATGTCTATGCTGACAACAGATACGTGTCAAGATGTCATGAGCAAGGTGAGATCTGGAGACCATCCCTGGTCTGGGATGTGCATACAAACTTCGTCAGACTCCAGTTCAGGTTGAGTCCAGGGAGTGCATCAGCCTGGGAACTGCAGTTTATGTTTCTGCCATAGGTACCGGACAAAACAAAATGACGGTATCTGTGATTATTGGCCCTGGCAACATTTAAAAGGTCAGAACCTGTTTTGCAGAGCATGTTCACCACAAGGACGGAATCAGTTATTCACAATTTCATTTGAGAGCGCTGTCTGGGTGAATAGTATTCTTCGTACTAGGAATGGGTTAGATTTATCCCTTCTTCCATTTGTCCGTGACATTTCAGTTTAACAGCCATCAGTTTGTTTGGGTCAGATCTTCCTAGCACCTAGACTGACACTGCCACTTTGTTTACATATAGTTAACGTTAACCATTGGAATCCACTCTTTGCTGACTCTTGACTCCTACCAGTGACCAAGGATTTATTTCAGACCTTGAGATGTTTTTCATAATCAGAAAGTGTGGGTCTTTCCCCTGCTCTGTTTGAAGTCAGTAAGAAACCTCAAACTGATGCACTGGGAGCAGGATTGGGCCCTAATCTGCCTTTATTTATGAATTTCCTTGTGAAAGACGGCACTGATCTGGAGATGTTTTGCTTAGCTACATTTTTATGCTGATTTTTCAGTCACTAACAAATGACACACATCTGGAAGTTTTTGAAAGGTGAATCTGTGTTGACATTGTGTACCTCTCTTTGCAGCATTATTATCAGTCAAGTTTCCTCACTTCATATTCAAACTGAGAAAATGTCATTAAAGCAGAAGTGAATGTTTAGTTAAAGTATGCAGGTATAGAGAATGTGGTTTATGTTCCATTTAAGGAGTTGGTCCTTTACAAAAAATCTAGTCAGGTAATGGCTGTTGTCCTTGCCTTGGCTTTTCCCTGCACTGAATTAATCAGTCTGGCTCCTACCAAAACACGAGGGAGCTCAGCACGTAGAGAGATTGATTGAAAAGTCCCTAAACTGACTTTGGCTATGTTTGCTCTGTTTTTATCTGTAACTTTGCTGCATTGTTACGGTTCAGAGTGGAAATAGTTTTAAATTTTTCTGCTCCAAATTGTGGCCCGGCAGCGCCGCAAACTAATTCCCACCGGAACCCGTGCGTAGCAGGGCTGCTGACTTGTGGCCTTCAGACGAGCACTGTGGTCCAATCAGTTTGCACGATCACAGCCTAAAGCAATCAGAAAATGCAGATTAAGGAGCAAATTCAGCCCTGCTGCGAGCCCAGTTGTGTCACATCTGCCTATGTAAGAGCTGAATTTGTCCCGCTTCATGCAGAGCGTGGGAGAAAGAGCTGGATCTTGGCTCCTCGCACCCCACAGCCCCCTCCACTAAACTTTAGGTGCCTAAGAGCTGCAAACCTAAATTTTCTACAGCACTTCATGAATTAGGTGTGATACCGCTTTTTCAGGAGCCCAGCTGAATGTGGGTGTTCACTTTTGAAGACCAT